TTAATGTTATTTCTTTTTTTAGTTACCAAAAAGAAAAGAAATTCATTCGGTAGTTTGATTTACCGTAGACATGCAGCTTGTTTGTAAGTTTTGAATAATGTCAATATTGATTTTTGTACTTGCATGCCTCGCGAAAAATCGATTACTTTGCACTACATCCTCCAAGAGAGATGGCATAAAGATGTTTGTTCATTTGTCTCTCAATAACATTGATAAGTGTGCGTAAAGTGAAAAGAACTTCATTAACAACGAACAAAATAATCATTCCAAAATAAGAATACAATCGTACGTAAAAAAAAAACACACATTTCACTAGAAAATAAAAATTAGCGAATGCCACCAAAATGTTCCAAAGCTGTTGGCACTGCACACTATAAACTAGTTAGTGGAAAGTCTAAGTCTTCTGGAAATCATGGAACAAAGGTATCAAAAAAAGTTCTGAAGAAAACATCGAAAAAATGAAAAGTCAAAAAGAAGGTTCTTCACACACGACAACATCGGCCTGGTGTGGTCGAAAATTTTATCATTGTTTGGTTAGACTCAAACGTTAGTTTATCCGACATAGACTATTGAAATTCGATTAAACAACTATGACGTATCGTTAATTCTATTAATTCATTCACACTGATTAAACAATGTATTGATTTTCTCAATCAAATCAAAAATGAAAACGTCTTTATGATTGTATCAGGTATTCTTGAAGAACAAGTCGTACCTATTATCGAAGATTTACCTTATCTTGATTCAATTTATGTATTTTGTTGCAATAAATCAAAACATAAACTCTGGGTTTCTAAACATCGAAAAATAAAAGATATTTTTACTGAAATTGAACCACTTTGCGAATTGTTCACAAATGATATCAAACAATGTGATAACAATTTAATGTCAATTAGTATTTTATCTAAAACTGATTGTTCAACACGTGATTTAAATGCTTTATATCCATCATTTATGTATTCAAAATTACTTAGAGAAATCCTTGTGCAAATCGAAGATGATAATCAAGCTAAAACAGAACTTGTTGAATTTTGTTGTAATCAATGTGAAGATAATCAACATGAGTTAAAAATAATTGATAACTTTAAGAACACTTATTCTTCTTCATTAGCTCTTTGGTAATATACAAGAGAATGTTTTACTTACACACTGTTGAACAAGGCTCTTCATACTCAAGATATTTCAAACAACTTCTACCTCTTTCTTACACCCTATCGATTAGACATATTGTCTGTATTCTTTTTCTTGTTTGCAGTGAAAGGTCAAACAAGGGCAATTTTAAAGTTGGAAAAAAATATATATATCCATATATATATTTATATACTTAATTAATAAACTATTAAAATACCACCAAACTATTAATTAATATATAAGTGAATATAAACCGTTCTATCTGACGACACCATCGCCATGCCACCAAAAAGAGGCGGAGATGTGCGAGGAAGAAAAAAAGGTGAACAAGACAATTCAAGGGCCGGAACACCAATCATCAAATATCAGACAGCAATTGAGAAATGCACCATCGATTGCTGAAGTGGGCTCACTCACCAAAGTTAAAATAAGTCATCTCATCAAAACTCATTTACCAGATACTAGAGTTATGAATATACAAGCAAATCGATCAAATTCCTTTATACTTTATGCAAATGATGTAAACTCATTCAATCAATTACTGATTGAACTAGGAGTTGGAAGTTACCGTTCCCAGTTCTCGGGTAACTGGGAACTTTTTCGTTCGCAGTTACCCGGTAATTGTAACGGCTCGTTACCAGTTCCCGGGAGCGCATGAAAGGTCAGGAGAGTGTCTACCGTCATCAGACCCGTAGTCCCCATCCTCAAGTCCTACTCTTGGGAGATACCCTTGGGTCCTCAAGTCCCACTATTGGGGGGTACCCTTGGGTTCTCCAGTCCTACTTATGGGGGGTACCCTTGGGTCCTCAGGTCCTACTATTTGGTGGTACCCTTGGGTCCTCAAGTCCTACTATTGGAGGGTACCCTTGGGTCCTCCAGTCCGATTATTGGGGGTATTCTTGGGTCCTCCGGTCCTACTATGGGGGGGGGGGGGTATCCTTGGGTGTGGATTTGGGTGGGTGTGGGTGTGAGTTTTAATCGTCCTTTCACGCAGAGATACCCACACCCCCACACCGACACCCACACTCACACCCACACCACCGCACCCACCCACACCCACACCCTTAGCTATTCCATTCCAGCTGTCGTTATTTTTGGTCTTATTTTAACGGTTCAGGTGTGGCTGTTGATAGAAATGGATATGCATGAAGGTCTCTTGTTAAAAACCCACACCCACACCATCGAGGAGATTCTGTAGATAAATGACAACATATTTCTCTTATCTATTCTCCAAACTAAAAAAAATTTCAATGAGAATTTGATGTGCTCTCTTGAAGTTGTCGTTGGAATCGTTGCTGATTGGAAAAAGAGAAATGTTTCAAGGCCACTTTTTCTCTCCAGTTTTCCATGCAGAACTGAATGATCAATGTAAAGCTAGGAAGAGAGCAACACCATGAGGGTAAAAGAGCGCTGAAACTCGACAAAAACCTCTTCATTTTTGATTCTGTTCAGATTTGCTCAATGGTCACATCAAACGATGGGCGTCTTTCTGAATGGAGACTCTGCAAGGTGTGGATCTTTTTTTCAAATATGTATTGTTATATAACGACACCTATATGAGACACACTCATTCGTCATTCACTCCATCCATTCGTTCTAGTTTACGTTTGATCATTTCTTATTGTTTGTTTTCATGTATTCCATGTAAATCGTGGCAGTCGTCTTAGCGACTTATAGTCAGTCCGTGTAAATCGCTTTAGCAACTGATGCAAGGGCGTCCGCCATCTTTCGGACTCACAGCGACTGAGCATATTTCTCATTCAGAAAAGCGACTGTTACGTATCTGTTGAGGCGAGAAAGATCTTCGAAATATAGAAAAACACCCAAATTTTCGTTCGAGAAGTTGGCTCAGGCTTCAGAATAATAAGTCTCATGATTTAAATTATAAACTTCCATTGTTTCGAAAATAAGTTACAT